TCTTCTTTTTTTTTTTTTTTTTCTGCAGTACTTCTTCTATCAACCTCTCCTTTCAAAAGTAGAGATGAGAGATCAAATCATTGGATGTCATTGTTTACTTTTATAAGTTACAAGAAAGTTAAATTTGTAATTTTACAAAAAAAAAAAATATATATTACTTTGATTTTTCAAATGAGATATTTATTTTGGGACAACCAAAAATAAATAAGTAAGTTATTTTTTTTGAAACAAAAAGAATACTATAAAATACAATAAAATAAAATAGACTGTTACAAAAAATCCGAAAAAACATGTGATTCTTATAATAGTTGTAGGACAATTCAGAATATGGATGGATAGCAAAAAAATGAAATCTCATATCTAGTCAAACATGGACGACTCCATTTTATTCACATTCGGCTGCTTTCTAAAGTCAAGTCTTCAATGGTAATTACTTTCTAAAACTGATATGTCCAATTTGGCATCATGCAATAACTCGAGCCATGAAACATTGCCATTCAGCCACGGCATCATGCAATAACTCGAGCCATCAAACATCGTCATTCAGCCACACAATTTTTTTTTTTTTTGTTGAAAAATCAGTTGTGCTTGTTACGAATGATTCTTACAAGGAGAGTGTCTATGCAGGTTCGTGTTAACTACTCTTGAAGACTTGAATACATTTACATAAGATTACAGCTAACAAGTCTTGAAATCAAATTATAACTTCATCTATATATTTATTTTCGCTTTCAACCCTAAGGGAGGGTTGGCTTAAATGGTAAGTCACTTAGACTTGGAGTCTCATGAAGTATCAAGTCTAAGATTTGAAACCACGACCGCAAGTGAAATTCTGATATTTCACTTCAAAATTATGAGCCAGAAATATTCATATGGAAGTGTCAAATTAACTAGTATTATTATTTTTAATTTTCTTTTCTTGAGGCAAGATAATTTCTTTAAAATACGGCAATCAATTAAACAACTTAAGGGGCCTTATTAAGTCGTGAAGAGTAATATACTTCAAAAAATTAGTTTTGGTGAACTAGTATTAAGATATATTTTTCTGTGTCTGTGACTCCCAGTTACACACACACACACACACATATATATATATTGAGTACAAAATAATAATATACTTCAAAAAATTAGTTTTGGTGAACTAGTATTAAGATATATTTTTCTTTGTGTCTGTGACTCCCAGTTACACACACACACACACATATATATATATTGAGTACAAAATAATAATGCAATATGAACAAGCAAATTATTTTTTAATGATAATTATGGTGAAGTATACATAAATATTCTCTAATTGGTGACAAAAGAGAGGGAAATGAGAAGAACGGAAATATAGATATTCTTCCTTTCTTTTAAAACCTAAAGACAAAAATATCTTTTTCATATTCCGATGAACCTATTTTTAGATTCTTTTCACCCAAAAATAATATTAAGGGCCATGCCACCATGTTTCTCAATGCTTATCGCCATAGTTACTAATTAAAACCACCTATTACATATGGATAAATAAAATTTAGTTTCAATTATATATAACTTTACCGATAACTACCTAAGTATTTCATTTTTCACTTCAAAATAAAAAGATCTATTTTAAATCATTTGACCCAAAACTTGTATTTTCTATTTCTATTTACCTAGAATTTAATGAACTGTATAATTCTACATATTTTACTTAACGATTACATATATACTTAAGATATGGAAAAGGAGATCTATTTTCTTGCTTAGAAAAAATATGATATTTGCAAAAATAAAAACTCAACTCTTCTAGCTCTATGTTATTATTATTATTATTATTATTATTTTGTTTTTTTGAAAGGTAAATGTTAATTGCATTAGAGTAACTGCATAAGGCCCCAAATTCCGGCCCATGTGAGGAATGATGACGCATATACAAGGCACAATTAGTCCAAGCCCAATATTAAGACAAACATATTACACAAACAAGTGGCCAAGCCTAATCCATAAGACAAACAGATTGTACAAGCAATCAGTCCAAGCCCAATAATAAGACAAACAGATTATACAAACAAGTTGGCCAAGCCTAATCCATAGTACCAATTCCGCTACAAACAGATTTTTCGACTTAAATGATTATAATGAAAAAAAGGGTGAACCATTAAATATTATTTATACTATATTTTGCATTTCTAACCGGCCTTTAGACCTATATAAATCTAGTTATATATATATATATGTGTGTGTGTGTGTGTGTGTGAAAATTATATTGTGCACTCATTTCGTTGATTTTTATTGATTTTCATTTTATACAGATTTGTTAAATAAACACTACGAGAAATAATGCCTAAGTTTTTTCTTTTATATATATATATATATATTTTGGACAATACTTGCCTACTCACCGGTGAGTAGGAATTTCATATTTACCATCTATGTGGCATAATAACAAAGTGACAAGTGTCCCTACAATGTAAAAAATAATAATAATAAACGATTTAAGAAGTTATTTCGGTTAAATCCAGTAGGATCCAATTCAAACCCATATCTAATTATCTCTTTCCCATGCTACTCTATTTAAGCCCTAAGGAATCACAACTACAAGTATCTTGCTCAAATCAAATCCATGAAATGATTCGGATTAGGATTTTCGATTGTGGGTGATAAGATTTCATGTGTAAACTAATATATATATATGTTGATTTTGTTCTTTTGAAGCGTGGCTTGTGTTGTTTAGCCCTCCGTTGCCTTCTTGTTGACCAAAAAAATAAAAAAAAGACCAAATTGTTTGTGTAAAAGCAGATGCTTGCACTTGTTAATGGGTGTCTTGTCCCACATGTGAAAATAAATATGAATCTATGATTGTCGCCGGCTCATTCTTCAAGGTAGAGAACCGATCGTTGTATGGCAAGTCTAATGTTGAACCAAAAAGAATTCTTAAGAAAACAAATTTTATTTTTTTACTAAATCATGAATAAATACTTTCTTTTATTTATTTGAATAATGTTAATAAGCCTATTTTAATGCAAATACTCTAGGGCTAGGTTTACAATTGAACTCTTAAGTCTCACCATCATCAAAAAAATTAATCCAATTACTTCTACATAATTTTTTTGGGTTTGATTCGTATTTTATAAGGAAGAAATAATCAAATTAGGATTTGATTCAGATTTTATTGGGCTTAACCCAAATAACTTTTCAAATCTTTTATTTTTTATTTTTTATTGGAGAGACACTTATCACTTTATTGTCCCGCCACATAGGTAGTAAGTATGAAGTTCCTACTCACTGGACAAAACACAATTAGCTAGCATGAATAAAACATCAAAGTGCTTTAATAGCTTATATAAAACACAATTATGCAGGTAGACACAATATATAGCTGCATTGAAGGTCATATTTGAAGATCTATTACAATGGCTTTTGAAAAAGATGCAGAGCAAGCCCCGGAAGCTAGAGTCATGGTGGTCGCTCTTCAAAGATCTGAAACAAGCTCTATGTGAACATAGTTGAGTTGCATAATTTTAAACAAAGAAACAGTGATAAAGAATGCACACTTCATGTCACATTCATCCACGCATTGACCGAAGAATAATACCATGTCATTTTTACACATTAATGCATGTGTTCAACAATGAATAATATAATTATCTCTGTCTCTCTCTCTCTAGATATATATATATGAACTCACACATGCATTGGGCATTTGTTTCTATTTAATACATTGGGAATTTGATTATTGGACAGCAGACTCGCTACCAAATAGAAGAGGAAATTCGAGAGACAAACTCTATATGTTGTATTCGCTTCACAGGACAAAATTAATTATGTTTGTGAGTGTGGAATCTACCTTTGGAATCAGAATTTTCTCATCCAATTTCAAGGCAACATAAGTGATTTTAGACATAAGTGATTTTACTTCCAAACGCAACATAAGTGATTTTAGACAACATTGACATTATTTACGTGCTTAAAAGATCCAAATATCCTTTTTATACTCTTAATTAAATACATTGCTATGGCAGATGAAAAAAGAAAAATTGTCCAAAAATCTCCCCAATAAATTTTCTTACAGATTCCAGAATGATACAACTACAAAGTTATATTTGGGTGTGTGCTTTTCTTTTAGTGTCAAAAAACATTATAAACCTATATACATATTACATAATAAAGAAAAATTAACCGCCCTAGTGGCAATTGGAATTTGTTGTTTATTTCTTTTCTTCTTTTTTCCTTCGACCTCACTAGTGGCTATTCCAAGCTTTGAAAAGGTTGGCTCTGTCCTCAAAAGTACCTATGCATATAACTATATATATATATATAGACACACACTTATAAGCAAAAAACACGTGATCACATGATTTTTTTTTTTACTTCTTAATTTATTTTTAATTTTTGGATTAATACCTAATTACATAATATTATAATAAAAAGAAAGCAACAGTGTCCAAGGACGAAATCAGAAAATTTTCTCGGGGGCACAATGTACAGGATATATTTTTTTTTTTTCAAGCATCATACTCACTAGGCTTGTTTATGACATACATGATTTTTAGTAACAATTTCATTATTTATGCGATGTTTCCGATTTTCACCATTTTCTAATTTTTTAGAATTTTGTCGTTGTATGTGTATTTTTGTCTTATCTCGTTTTGCGTACCGAACACCATAGAGTGTGCCGGTTATGTTCGAGAGTTGATTGGGGCATTTCATTGAGTCCAGGACTCTTTGAAATGAACGGGTGGTCATTTTGCATTTTTCTGTTTTTCAGGCCAGCGATCCCGTGTGGGACTTGCTACAGGAACTGTTACTTATGGGGATTTTAGTTGGGACCATTTGTACCATAATTATTTTTATTTAATGTATTTTATGTGGTGGTAAATTAATATGTGTATGTGTATGTGTATGTATATATATGAGTGTGGTGTAAAATGAGGTTAAAAATAAAAGAAAAAGAAAATAAAATTTTAGGTGGGGCCATAACCATTTAAAGTGGTTTAGAGACTCCTTGGTCACTCATTTTTTCTCACTTTCCCGTAGCTCTCTTTCTCTCCCTCTTCTTTTGGATTTTTCTTTTTCTTTTAGGTTTCAATCTTCAATCCAAGATTTCTCATTCATCCTTTGGAATTTTTGAGTGCCATTTGCGGCATTCAAATCCATACCAACAATTTCAGCTTTTGGCCACTCTAGAAAGTCCGAAAATTGAGACCTATTTTGAGGGTTTTTGCATTCTAATAGGTAGGGGTTCTTAATCCACAACTTCTTGCTTCTTTGTGAGATTTTCTATGTGTTTTGCTATATAGCATGCTCAATTGTGTTGAATATTCCTTTAATTGACTTAATTGTGTATTTAAAGCATGTAATTATGTGAATTAATTGATGTGGTATGTAAAAGCATGTTTAAGTGGTGAATCTCTATGCCTATTGTGTTTGATTTTGCTAAATTGTGTTAATTGCTCCTTAATTGACTTGATTGTGTTTATGAAGTATGTGAGTATGTGTATTTAATTGAATTGTATGAAAGAGCATGCTTTATGTGCTAATTCTCCATGCCTATGATGCTTATTAACTTGCTAGAAATTTGTATAATGAAGCATGTTAATTGTGAAATAATAATTTTTTTTTCCATTTCTATAGTATTGAAGGCATGAGATATACATGCATGTCATTGGGCATGAAGGAAGGGAAATGTTTTGAAATGAAAAAGGGGTTTTGGAAAAAAAAAAAAAAAAAAAAAAAAAATAATAATAATAATAATAATAAATAAATAAATAAATAAAATTTTGAGAAAAGAATTTTGTGAAAACCCGGACGCCAATGGGGTACCGGGGGTCCGTGGCGTTAATATAGCCTAGAGGGAATTAGGGAGATCGCCCTAGCGTGGTTGGGCTATCTGGACCCCAAATGATGCTGCGGGGGTACCAAGGGTCAGGGACAGTAGCCAATCCTTCCCTCGTCGCTGAGGGGTTACCGAAGGAGGTTACATTAATGGTTTGAAAAGTGAAGAATGGAAGTGATTTTAAGTATGGGGAGCGACATACATGACATTGCATATCATGGCACGTCATTGTTTATCATGAAATTGAAATTAGTGTTGTATTCCTTTTCGACATAGTATGATCCCTATTCCCTATTTCTATTCATTGTGTGGATTCACAGGGTCACAAGAGGTGTGTCTTAGGCACCACCTACTGAGCAATTTGCTCACCCCCTTATATTTAATATTTTTTTCAGGACACGGATGGCAAGTGGTAGACGACGCTCCTCCACAGGGTTCGATGGGTTAATAGACCGTTTTAACATACTTTGTAACTATAATCTCATTTTATTATTATTATTTATTTATTTATTATTCCTTTTTTTTAAAAAAAACCCAGAATAACACGTATAATATGTATTGACGTAGGAAAGAATAGTATTGTCCCTAATTGACCTCGGGTTCGGTTAAGGACCCGGCTAACGGTTCGGACCTACGGGTTTAAGTCATTACAAATTTGATATCAGAGCTTTAGATTCGAATACCTTTCGGACTACGGGTAGTGGCTTACCTAGAAGGGGTAGAGAGTTGATTTGCGTCGTTTATATGCCTATATGTTAAAGTGCTTAACTGTTTAAAAAGTATGCTTACTTAATACCTGTTTAAATATTTATTATTTTGAAAGGCATGCCTATTTGTTAAGTGCATACGTGTTTAAATTGTGATACATGTAAATAAAGTGTTTATGTTAATTGCAAGCATGTCATATATGATGGGGCGGAAAGTATGAGATATACGATGATGGTGAGAAGTAGGCACGGTCAGTGCAATTTTCTTTTATGTTAATGTGACAAGTAATGAGCATGGTATTGTGGTTTCATCCATTTCGTATACGTGCATATCTATATTTTTATGTGTTTATGCGGTTGAGCATGGGATGGTTGTGTGGGTTTTGACCAGAGTTGGCGAGGAGCTCTGTTGCTCAAGGGTGATTGGGTGTGAATTCTTATCGAACGGATGGCTTGGTCTTTTAGCTCGTGGATTGAGTTATTTGGTTTGTAGCTATTTTTTTTATCCTCTTGTTGCAATTTGTGTGGTGCTTAGAGCACGACTTCGAACGAGTTGCATTTCAAAGCATCGTGACTGCGTTGTGTGAGAGTTTCATGCTTTAGTGTGTGGGTTCTGGTGACCGTGGAGGTCAGGTGTGTGACTGAGGGTTTTGGTATGACCATAGAAGGTTAGTGTTAGTGACTTGGGTCACGGTTTGGTGCGGAGGTTCTTAACGAACCGAACGTAGTAGGTGTGATAGAGATTGTTTAAGTCACAAATGTAGTCTGTGAGTTGTAAATATGAATCCTTTTGTATGGTCTAGGAGGCATGTTGGTTCGGGCTGTCGTAGAGACTGGTTTATTGAGAGGTGATCCTCGTATTGGAGAACTACAGGAGTGTGCTATGGGTAATTGACTCTCGGTGAGTCGATTGCATGGCTCGGTCGATGAGCGGAGTTTTGGGTTGGTACGGCTGTTTAGAAAGTCTCGAGGTGGTGTATAGTGGTTAGTTTTAGTTGTGTATAACAGGATTGCACTATAAGGCAGGTAGTATGGGGTCATTGGAGTGCTTGGTTGTTTATGGATGAAGTGATAGCTGGTGAGTATGGTGTTATCAAATGAATTATGTTTTAGAATTTGAAAGTTGTAGATTCGGGTTGTATTTCAATTGTGTCTGATGTATTATGAGATAGTACTCGGTGTTTGAGGATCCGGAAAGGTAGAATGATAATAAGAATGAGTGGAACGAGGTTAATCTTGTAGGCTTTGTTGGTAGGCCATTTGATTTTGTTGGGGTCAATAGTGTTCTAAGGAACAGTGATGAAGGGAGGTAATGACGTTGAATCTGGAGTATAAGGTTTTCTCATTTAGACATGTAGATCGCCTTAGAATGAGTAGATTAAGTTTTTGGTTAAGCGTTAATGATTGATGATATCATTGATGGGATTGAGGTGATAGTTGGGTGTTGAGATTCTAGGCTTTATGCTCATTTTTGTTTTGAGGATTTATCGGTATGGTATTGTCGTATTGAGGTTCTTTTCTAGTGGTATGCAATGATCGTTGTGGGGAGTATCGAGAGTAATGTTTGTTCTTTTGTTACGATGATGTTATCACAAGGATATTCGAGGAAAAATCCTTTAGTAGTGGCTTGATGGTTCGGTGGGATGATAGGATAGAACTGTGGTTAGAATGAGTAACAGTAGAAGTGTTATGGTGTTGTAGTGTAATATTTAGTGCTGATGAGTAGAGTGGTTTAAGGTATGATCCAAATGCGGTTTGGAAATTACGAGTTGTTTGTTGTGTGTTGTCAGGTAGGTGATGGATTGTGCGCCAGTTGAGGCGATTATGGACGATGTCGTCATTAGAGTCAGTGAGGACGACGTTGCCAGATATGCACCCTTTTCTTTTGACAAGTCAGTGGGTCGTTGTGATTGAGGTCACGGGTTTTGTGTTCACAGTGATTAAGGCAGTGTCACCTTCAAAGGGTAGAGGTGGAACAGGTGATCAGGTGTCATTATATTTCATAGAGTTTCTCATTGGGAGATTATTGGGTAGGATGGGACGCGGTGTCCAACGTACAGTGATGGTTCCTAGTGTTAGTATGTTGAAGGCGTTGGTGCTTTTATCTGATTGGTTTCGGTTAGCATAGTGTTACGGAGAAGAGTGTGCGAGGTTTTTGTGTTGATAGAGTGTGACGGTTCGTTAGTGGTGAGGTCGCCTAGAATCGGGATCGTAGTCCCATATGTGTTTTCAGTTAGTTCTTTCCTTGTGTGTAGGAAGTTCACTTCATCTCAGGTGAGATTGGGTGTCCATGGGCGATTGGTGAGTAACGCGTGATAGGGTGTCAAGTGCATTCGAGTATGAGTTGTCAGTCTTTTGTGAAAGTGGGGTTCGTTACCCTTTCCACTTGTTCTAGTCTTGGACATCGTTTTTCGTAAGTCTTGTTCTCCCTTTAGGAGTGGTGTACGTCTGTTGGTGGACGGACCTGTGTGTAGTTTGTTATGTTGTTAGGGTTCAACAATAGAAGCTTTGGTTAAAAGGGGTCGACTTACACCCTCAGAGGGAGGTGGAGTCTTGGGTTTCTGTAGTGCCCGTTTTGAGTGTGGTTTTGACGGGTGGTATGTAAGGCACGAGTTGTCTAAGGATTATATGTTTTCAATGTCAGGTACTGGTGGCGGCGGCAAGGAATTTGTCATGAATGAAAGATTGAGGATAATTAGGTGATGTGATATGACTCATGTATTCAGATGTTTTTATAGGTGATTGATTCTAGCAATGTCTTGGGGACAGGTGTTGGTATTGTTGAATGTTATGCAGTTAGAGAATTATTACGGGATTCGATTGAGGATAATAAGAATGATTGATTCTGGTTTTGAGATCTCAGGTATGAGATAGTTGTATCGTGTGTTTTGACAAGGTCAGAATTGAATAGAATGATGTTTTGAAGTTGTTTACCAGGTATGGGTATTATGAGAAGATTAGAGAGCTTTGATGTTGGTCGATGATTGAGACATTTGGTGCTGTGTTGTTTTTGTTTATTATGATTATGTGATTGAGATATGATTGGAATTCTAAGGATAGGTATATGATTGTATAATTATTGAGGTTGTGGATAACAATAGATGGACAGTGAGTGGATCTTATAGTTGTTTTGTGGATTGTGTGAGACTGTGTTTGAGGTTTGGACTTGATGACAGGAACGGCATTTATGTTGAGATTGGATCGATGATGAGAATGGCCTGGCCAACCATTTCTCTTGAATCAATCCCTCTTTAACATCATGTCGGGTCAAAGGTCAATGATTGTTTCAAGTTGTCATAAATAGTGAAAGTATGGTATTGGGTGTGTCAGTGTGAGGGTGTAGATTTAGGAAGTTGTCTCGGGAGATGAGGTGTGTTAGGTGGAACCAAGAGTCTAATCCGCTTGATTATTAAAGATCTGGTTTTGAGGATTTAAGTCCTGGGCACAGGAAGGTACGCTCTATCGGTTTGATGGCTAATGATTGTATAATTGTTGGGAGATTCATCATTTAGTTATCTTGAGGTTGATTAGTATAATAATTGCCGGTTGGTGTGGTTAGTGGTCGTTGTATAGTTGTATGTTGGATGGCAAGTGTTGTTCTAACTGAGAGGTGTAGGTCTGAGTTTGAGTCTGATTGTGTGGTGGATAGGGCTCCTTGTCTGGGACTTGTGTGTCCTTTATAGGGATGGGTTGAGATAGGATGTTGTCATGTTCAGGTGTCTTGCGACCATTCTTCTTTCAAGCCTTGTGTAGTAGTGTAGCAGGACTAGTGTTGGTTTTAAGGCGAGTTTAGAATTCAGCGGGTTTTGTGTATGATGTTATGAGTGATGAGTACCCTCATAAGGTGGTGACCATTTGATTTTCTAGCGACAGAGTGTGATTGCCTGTTGGCGCCGGTGTCAAAGGCAATATGGTTGTTGAATTCTAAGTCTCGGGGTTTTCTGAGGTGTTCTTGGAAAGTGTATGGCTGTGAGCCTCCTTCTTTTAAGGAGGGTAGATTTCGAGGACGAAATCTCTTTAAGGAGGGTAGATTGTGATGTTTTCGATTTTCACCATTTTTTAATTTTTTGGAATTTTGTCGTTGTAGGGGCATTTTTGTCTTATCTCATTTTGGGTACCGAACACCGTGGAGTGTGCCGGTTATGTCCGAGAGTTGATTGGGGCATTTCATTGAGTCCAGAACTCTTTGAAATGCAAGGGTGGTCATTTTTGCATTTTTCTGTTTTTCGGGCCGGACGGTTCCGTGTGGGACCTGTTACTAGAACTGTTGCTTACGGGAATTTTAGTTGGGACCATTTGCACCATAATCATTTTTATTTAATGTATTTTATGTGGTGGTAATTGAATATGTATGTGTATGTATGTATGTATATATATATATGTGTGTGTGTGTGTGTGCGCGCGCGTGGTGTAAAACGTGGTTAAAAATAAAAGAAAAAGAAAATAAAATTCTAGGTTGGGCCCACAACCATTTAAAGTGGTCTAGAGACCACTTGGTCACTCTTTTCTTCTCACTTTCCCATAGCTCTCTTTCTCTCCCTTTTCTTCTGGATTTTTCTTTTTCTTTTAATTTTCAATCTTCAATCCAAGATTTCTCCTTCATCATTTGGAATTTTTAAGTGCCATTTGAAGTAAAATGAAGCTCATAATGAGACCTTTAAATCCATACTAGCAATTTTAGCTTTTGGTCACTCTAGGAAGTCCAAAAATTGAGACCCATTTTTAGAGTTTTTGCATCCTCAGAGGTAGGAGTTCTTAATCCACAACTTCTTACTCCTTTATGAGATTTTCTATGTGTTTTGCTATATAGCATGCTCAATTGTGTTGAATATTCCTTTAATTAACTTAATTGTGTATTTAAAGCATGCAATTATGTGAATTAATTGATGTGGTATGTAAAAGCATGTTTAAGTGGTGAATCTCTATGCCTATTGTGTTTGATTTTGCTAAATTGTGTTAATTGCTCCTTAATTGACTTGATTGTGTTTATGAAGTATGTGAGTATGTGTATTTAATTGAATTGTATGAAAGAGCATGCTTTATGTGCTAATTCTCCATGCCTATGATGCTTATTAACTTGCTAGAAATTTGTATGATGAAGCATGTTAATTGTGAAATAATAAATTTTTTTTCCATTTCTATAGTATTGAAGGCATGAGATATACATGCATGTCATTGGGTATGAAGGAAGGGAAATGTTTTGAAATGAAAAAGGGGTTTTGGAAAAATAATAATAATAAAATAAATAAATAAAGTTTTGAGAAAAGAATTTTGTGAAAACCCGGACGCCAATGGGGTACCGAGGGTCCGTGGCGTTAATGTAGCCTAGAAGGAACTAGGGAGATCGGCCTAGCGTGGTTGAGCTATCTGAGCCCCAAATGACACTGCGGGGGTACCAAGAGTCAAGGACAGTAGCCAATCCTTCTCTCGTCGTTGAGGAGTTATCGAAGTGGGTTACATTAATGGTTTGAAAAGTGAAGAATGGCAGTGATTTTAAGTAGGGGGAACGACATACATGGCATTGCATATCATGACACGGCATTGTTTATCATGAAATTGAAATTAATGTTGTATTCCTTTTTGGTATAGTATGATCCCTATTCCCTATTTCTATTCATTGTGTGGATTCACGAGGTCATAAGAGGTGTGTCTTAGGCACCACCTACTGAACAATTTGCTCACCCCTTTATATTTAATATTTTTTTCAGGACACAGATGGCAAGTGGCGGACGACGCTCCTCTACAGGGTTCGATGGGTTAGTAGACCGTTTTAACATACTTTGTAGCTATAATCTCATTTTATTATTATTATTCATTTATTTATTATTACTTATTTTTTTATAAACCCGGAATGACACGTATAATATGTATTAACGTAGAAAAGATTGGTGTTGTCCCTAGTTGACCTCGGGTTCGGTTAAAGACCCGGCTAACGGTTCGGATCAATATAAGATTTTCTCATTTTATTTATTTATTTTTATTTTTTTTGAGACTTTTAGTGTTACAAGTAGACCATCAATTTTTTTTTGTTATTGATAGAACTAGACTTAGATTAAGTTAATTTTTGGTAGTTATCTTATTTTAGTATTTAGCTTCATATTCTATTTTTTTTTTCTTCAGTTTTTAGAGATAGGATTATTTTTAGAATACAATGGTGGATTTACATATAAATGAATAATATTTCAATTTTCTCTTCAACTTGTGTATGCCAATTGTATAACGTAATTCTCCATTTAGCTTCCACTTCATCAATAATACTCAACAATTCAACAATTCACTCACGAGATTTTTTATATTTATATTACAATCAAATAAAACATATTAGGATAACTTACACATATAAAAAAATACAAGGCAAAATTGTATGATAAAATTATCAAAGCATAAAACAATTCCTAAATCACATAAACAAAAGAAAAAAAATGTGAATCCAAATGCAGCTAGACAATTGGGCCAGATCATGTCCAGTAAGAAAAAAAGCTAAATGAGTCCAAGTCCAAACAGGCCGGCCCAATAGAAATCCTTGTTCATACTCAATTCACTAATATAGTTTTTTCTTGCTGGGAAAAAGAAAAAAAAAAAAAAACAATTCCCAATGTATTATCATTTTAAACGAATCATACAGGAAAAGTATAAATTTTAAGCCTAAATAATTTTGAGTTATTAAATTTTGGTAGCTAGGTCCCGGCCATAAATTTTATCACTAGCAGCAGACTAAAAAAAATTTGCTGTTGGAGGAGTCAATATGAAAACAAAAATATAAAAATAATTGTATATATATATATATGTATGTATCTATTTATAAATTGTAAAAAATTATAATTTACAATAGGAGTTTTATTGTACATAATATATAAGAAAATTTATATGATTATTTATAAATAAAAATAATTCATAATTCTTAAGTATATGAAATGAGAACGGAAATATAGATATTCTATATGCCTTTTTTTTTAAATGAAAATTTTAAAAGTAAAGGAAAAAAAGGGCGGGAGTTCAAATTCAGGTTCCTTTCCAGTTTTGAAAGGGCCATTAATAATTTCTTTTTTATATTTCAAAGAACTTATTTTTAGAATTTTTTTCACTAAAAAATTTTAGGGGCCATGCCACCATGTCTCTCAATGCTTTATCGCCATAGTTACTAAAACCACATATTAAATTAATATTAATTTTTTTATCTCTCTTCTTCCTTTATTCTATCTCCTCCTATTTTCTCTCTCCTCCTATTTTTTTTTTTTTTTTCTCTCTCTCTCTCCCCGTTTTTTTTTTTTTTTTTTTGGTGATAACTATCTCCTCCTATTATCTTGCCCCTATTTCTCTCTCCCTTCTATTTTATTCGCCCTGTTTCTCTCTCTTCTCAGTTCTCCATTTCTCTTTCCTCCTTTATAGAGCATTGTTCACTGGAGATTGATTGAGGAAATGAAATGTGGAAATATCCAATCGAAGCTGTCATTAGCCATTATTATGGCAGGGACATTTGTGGTTGGTTGAACAAATTTCTCCATTATTATCGTTGGGACGCTTATGGTTGATTGAATTTAATTTCTCCATTATTATAGCACAGGGACGTTTGTGGTTGATTGAAGTTTCTTGGTGACACCGGAAAAAAAAGAATGAAAGTTTCTTCGTGACGAAATTTTTCTTAATTTCTAAATATATATTTTTTTATTTCGGTAGACTAGATATTTTTCTTGTAATTGCCATTTAACGAAATTGGTTAACAAGGAAGATTTATGTATTTTTACTAAATATGAGGAGGATTAGCGCTTATGTAAATGTAAATGAAGTAATGAAATTTTTTTATGAACTGGGAGAATGGGAGGTACATAAGTTTTTTTCAAAATAGCATGCTTTTTAGTAATAGAGAAGTAATTCTGAACAGGCACTTAAGAGCATTGGGGATTGATAGAGTTAGTTTTTAGTAGTTGGAAATGAAATGTGGAAATATCCGATCCATTATTATGGCAGGGACGTTTGTGGTTGGTTGAACAAATTTCTCCATTATTATGGCTGGGACACTTGTGGTTGATTGAATTTAATTTCTCCATTATTAGGGCAGGGACGTTTGTGGTTGATTGAATTTAATTTCTCCATTATTATGGCCGTAACGTTTGTGGTTGATTGAAATTTCTTGGTGACATTGGAAAAATAAAAATGAAAGTTTCTTGGTGACGAGATTTTTCTTAATTTTTAGATTTTTTATTTTATTTGGATAACAAGAAAATAAAATCTCATATCTAGTCAACATGGACTCCCCCATTTTATTCACATTCCGCTGCTTTCTAAAGTCAAGTCTTCCTGCTTTCTAAAATTGATATGTCCACTTTGGCATCATGCAATAACTTGAGCCACACAATGAAGGCTTCAAGTCAAGTCATGAAACATTGCTATTTTTTTTTTGGTAACGAAGGATTCTTATAAGTAGAGTGTCTATGCAGGTTGGTGCCAAGTACCTTTGAAGAGTTGAATACATTTTCATAAGATATTTTTCTCAAGTATCCTATACCTAACAAGTCTTGAATCAAATTATAACTTTATCTATATATTTATTTACTTATTTGTGTTTTCAACCCCGAGGGAGGAATTGATTGATACATGTGTTTACATACTATATTTCAATCAATGACTAGTTGACACGTGACGAGTTTTACATAAGAGTTGTCATATATCAATTTTATTTGCACCATAATTATCCATCACTTCCCAATGGAAAGTTGTTGTGGCCGATTCCAATGGAAGGTTGATATGTAAACGTAGGTGTAATCATAAAACAACATGTGGATTCATCTAAGAAAGCCATTTAATGAAGTAACCACTTTGGAACACGTGGCAGCCAAGGAAACAAGCGGTTACATACAAGTAAAAAGTCATAGGACACATGGCAGCTAAGGAAGAAAGCGGTTACATGTAAGTGGAAAGTCATGGGACACGTGACAGCCAAGGAAGCAAGGATACATGCAAGTGGAAAGTCATGGGACACGTAGCAGCCAAGAAAGCACGCGGTTACATGCAAGTGTTGGCATCCAAGGAAGCAAGCGGTTGTTGGTAAATATATATGCTTCATGTGACATTTAAGATATAAAACCCTTATACTAATATGCCATGAGATAATTAACAATATGTTAAGAAATAATTAACAATATGCTACAAACTCATGGATACGCCGAACCTCCTCCGTGTAATGCTCTCTTTGACTCAAAAATGCATCTATACTATATAGATGCTGAATTGGGTGCAATTCGAACCAAATGGTTCGGACCAATCTTAATATGGCTCGATGAAATTGGATTAGGGTCTAAGTGGCTCGAACCACTTAACCTATGGTTTGAACCCACTTGGGTTGGGTTGAAATGAACGATTTGCAAATGATCCAAAGGGGAGTATTTATAGGCAACAAGGTGCCTTTTCGGGTGGGTGCAACCCTTTGGAAAAAATAAAAAGTAGTTTTTAAGCAAGGTGCCTTTTCGGATTGGGTGTGTTTCTTCATCATTGGACACAACCATTTATATGTGTCTCTTCATCATTAACCATTTATATGTGTCTCTTCACACTAATAACATCCACTCTAATTGGTTGCAATGGTTCACATGGTGTCTGTTTACCAATAGACACATCCACTCCAATAGGTTGCAATGGTTCACATGAATAGTTATATCTGTTGGTTTTGAGTTGTATCTTTTCATTCCATAAGTCAAAGGCATCATTGATGACTAATCAAACAATTTTCATTCACAATTTTTAACAATCCCCCATATAAATGGAAATTGGTTGCTTAAATGCAAAAGATAGTCATGCAGACACTAGAGAGAGTATAGTCGGAAAGTTACTGCATCAGGATATGTAGCTTTTGCCTTTGAACCTTCCCTAGTGTATTGCTATCGGATTTACTGGCTAACCAGTGAACGTGATGTCTTGAACTGTTCAGCCGTTTGTGTAAACCAAGACAATAACAAACACACAGTGCATTTCCTCACAAAGTTGGTTCTCATTGTTGTGTTCATTTTGGCCCTGAACAAGTCCTGGTATTCAATGAGTGCTTTAGTAAACTTAGCATTTATAGTTCTCATAGAAGCGGCCCCACTTCACACTCATATAGGTGACTTCTTATTAAGAGTATCCTACCATACCCTACTTAAATTTTCAAGGTATACGAGTCATTAGAAACGTAGCTTATCTTAATCCTCGTAGTAGGTAGCACTGTCTCATCATAGAAATGGGCAGAAGATTTATATCTTCCCAGTGCTTCTGGTGAGCCATTTAGAATTTCTGTTGTCCCTTTAAACCTAGATCTTGGGATTTCTAGTCAACTAGGTTGGGTTTCCATTAAGATGACTCGTTAGCTTTCGGCTTTAAACCCCATTCCCCTCGATGATCTGTACAATTGCTCTCTAATACAACCCTTAATTTTATATATGGCCACATGGTTGTATATAGAAATATTATACTCTGCAGAGATTTCCCCAATTGAGAGCAAATGTATACTTTGTGCCCTAAAATTGCTTATTGTTAGTAATATCCTTTTCTTTAGTGGCATAGGTGTAGACTTACTTTGAAATGTCCTCTAGGTGAAGTCTATTGACTTTCCTATTTGATTTATTCAAAGTTTTTAACTTTGAGTTATATTAAGAACATACAACTACACCTTTAATATTAAAGACATATCTACTTATGGATTTGAAGTCTTTAATATCCCACATCCAGATTGCATCACTGTTACACCTCCAATTTAGTTAGATACCTCGATCTATGCAATATTGGACTTGGGGTGTATCTTAACTACCTAATTTATTGCTTTTCAGTGATCCTATCCTGGATTGAAAGTGTGCAATTAATCACGGTTATTAAGATGCCTTGTAATCTCAACCAGTGATATACTTTGACTAGTATTTGTATTTGAGATTTACATCTACAAAAGTTAGCTAGGCTTTTGTTATCATAACTAGTATTATCTCAATCTCACTCTACTGAGAATATACTATGTTATCAGATGTTCAATCATTCATTTCAAATATATTAATTAATATATCATTAATTTTTTAAGGCATACAATGACTTATGCATCACATTCATGTCATTATCTCGGCAGTAGCTTTAATCCACTCAAGGATTTATAAGTTTGCACACTTGACTTTTCAACTGGAATAAATAATTCAGCTTTTCAGTTGGAAATAGAACTCTTCTAGTTGTTCCATAATATTTTCCTCGTAGGAAACAACATACACTATTGTTATAATACTATAAATGATTTTTGGTTCTATCCTAAAACTCTTAGGATTCGGAACCCCCCACATTTATAAGTATTTCTTTTAAGATGAGGTGACTTGTAATAAATTTCATCAATAGATAATATCTCTCTATAACTTTGGGATAATCCTGAAATTTTATTTTTGATGTATTTATTATGATTTTTCAACTCTGGAAGTACCATATATTAAATACTTCACCCCATCTACTTTTTTAAGGTTCCATATCCGCTTCTCAGCAAGTATGTATAACAGTCTCTAATGCATATGTACTCACTTTATCTCTAACTTATTATTATAATAATTCAGCGACATTACTGTGAATTAATGCTAGAGATATTAATTAGATTGGGCTCTAATTAATATTTGTTTCTACATTTCTCATATTTTTGACTTGAGTTATATATGTTTAGGTTTATGTTAAGTCAGTTATATTAACATGTCATAACCTTTCATGTGTCACACACATCACATAATTCAATAATTTAAGCAAATAATTCTCTAATTATTTAAGCTTTGGATACATCACCACATAGTGATCACTCACTTCTCAAGTATTATTACTAGCTTAGATTAAGCACACTCTTCTCATATCTTACTACTAGGTTATGATGAACACCCATTTCTTTGCTATTACCACTAGCTTGAAGTTAATTTTGCTCAACCATCAATTCTAGTAGCTCATAGCTTTAGTACACACTTATCTAAGTAGTTTACATTGGTAGTATATGAATTTGTTTTGGAAAATATTATCCAAAAACTACTACTTGTAAAGTAGTATTCTTCCCTCCTATAAGAGCAGATATGACGTATAACTCAAATAGCTTATAGCTAAAATGGTTATTCACCATCCTTTTATTTTTTTCAACCAAGTTGAGAGTTAAAACCAACTAACATCTCTAAGGTTCTTTGCACCTCAGTGATCACTTTAGCTTATAGCTAAGCTAACTAGTTTTCAGCTCAGTAACATTTTAGCTTTTAGCTAGCTTGATTTAGCTTATCTCAGTGTACTAGCTTAATGTATCCATAAAATTTTCCATTGAACTCTTTAGAGTAATCGGAAATCTCTCTCTTATTCAGCCCATTCACAGCTATACGTGTCTTAGACACTAATATAGATCTTTTCCCTTGACTATCGGGAGAACTGACGTAACTAGACTAGTCAATTTTTGTTTGTTGTATTACATACACAAGCCAGTCATGAACTCATACAAATATAATAATATCACACATTAGATAAATTATATTGTAAAAGTGAATTACTATGCACACTAAGTAATTCAACTCCATAGTTCAATATTATAGTAAACATTTATAAAAACAATATTGAACTCGCATAAATAAATATAACAATATAGTTTAATATTATATTACATGATTAATTATATCACATAATTAACCTAAGAAATAATAATAATCAGGAGAAGACTTTGCTTCCTTAAAGTTTTGTGGTTCATTCTCGAATAAACATGCTAGAAAATCAAGACCAAAAGATTTAGACGTTCTAACCCTCTTGCTATGTCTAAGCTCATCCTTATTTTCATTTTATGATTTATGCACAAGAAAACGATATGCACTACTGTTATGAGCATAATCTATCAAAGGTTTTATGTAATGATCCACTCCACCACATGGTATGATATTGTCCGCTTTGGGCTCGAGCCCACATGGTTTTGTTCTTGGGTTTTATCCCGGAAATGCCACATACCAATTGGAGATAACACCACTACATAAAATCACTTCACCTTTTCCTTACCTAAGCGATGTGGGACTGTGCACTTGTAGCTTGCCTAGTGTGGTAACTTGTCAGTGCCTCTTGCACCCGTCCATGACATACTTACCTACAAGGTCGTCACATTTTAGGTCCCACTTTAACTTTCTTAGGAGTAGGAACTGCTACCTTAAATAGACACCCCCACACTTTTAAGAATTTATAGGAAGGTTTTCAACATTTCCATA